CATAAAAACTGAAAAGCTCCTGCGCCAACACCAAGGAACACCTACAGCAACGATTAAAATGGGAATTTCAGGCCAGGCCAAAAAAGATTAGGACTAGAATTTAGCAATCCCCAGAACATAAGAACGAGGAGGCACGCCTGAAAGAAAGGAAGACGCCTTCGTAAAGTCCTAAGGGGGGGGGGGGGGCGGGGATGGGAGGTGGTGCAAAAGGAAATGCTACTTAAATGTCAGAAGGAGAGTCACCAGGGTGAGGTCAATGAAACCTTCTACGCAAAGTCATGACATAGGTTCAAAACTGTCTGTCCTTCCTCCCGAAATCCTTGCTGTTTTTTGGTGCAGATGATGAGGCAAACAGAAAAATGGAACATCTATAAGAAAAGTAGCATTTCTTTGCAGATGTCAGAAGCCACAACAGAAGTTTTAAAGGGAGAGGTGTGTGTGCGCGCGCCCGCGCGTGAAAGTGCTATTCATTTCCATAACAGTGCGACTTAGGCTGCTGACTTAATTTCCCTCGGTCAAAGAGAGCAAATGTGCCATTTAAGACAATTTCTTAATCCTTTAAAAGAGGCGGGGTGGAATGGTAGGGAGGTGGACAAACAAGTTGCTTAGCCAGCGGGGTCGCTGAGCCAACAGGGGACCCGCCTTCTCCACCCCTTTACTCCCATTGGCCCTTCATGGGGGCGTGGCCAGACGACCGCGGTGGGCGGGACCTGGACGCGCAAGTCCACCCCGGGTGCCTGGCGGGGGCATGGCCCGAGTGTCACCGCGGTCGCCACCATGGCCGGGCTTGCCTGCGGGTCCACGCGCGCGCTGCTCGCCGCCCTGCTGGCGTCCGCGCTGGTGACGCTGCTGGTGGCGCCGGCGCGGGGCCGGGGTGGCCGGGACCACGGGGACTGGGACGCTGCGGCGCTGCTGCCGACGATGCCGCCTCGCGAGGACGCGGCGCGCGTGGCCCGCTTCGTGACGCACCTCAGCGACTGGGGCGTCCTGGCCACCATCTCCAGTGATCAGGCCGTGCACGGCTGGCCCTTCGCGGACATCTTGTCGCTCAGTGACGGGCCCCCGGGCTCGGGCACCGGCGTGCCCTACCTCTACCTGAGCCCGCTGCAGCAATCCGTGGGCAACTTGCAGGTGAGCGGGCGGGCCGTGTGGCGCTCGCCTAAAATCTGCCGAGGAGGGAAAGACTGCCAGGCTCCTGGAGAGGAGAATTTCCGCCCGGCCCAAACTCCCTTTTTTGGCCCCGTGCGGGCAGGGCAGGCATTGCAAGCACACCCCGCCGCTGGGCGATGTGTTCGGGGTGAATTTTCACCCTTGAGTTGTCTTGGGGTACAGTGTCCCAATAACTGCGCTCGTCTTATTAATTAAAAGTTTTACAAGGCTTTGAGATAGTTGGGTAGTTAAGCACTCTGTATGTGTAGCTTGGGAGCTTCTTTTTCTTACTCCTAAATTATGAGCTTCCATAGTGAGAAGCTACTTTGCACCATTGACGATGAACACATTTTAAGGCAGTCTTTAGGCTCCCTGTGTATATTCGCTTCCCTAGTAGGGAGTAGAATTGACTGCAGTTCTATATCCTCCTCACCCTGTGCCTACCTTCTGGGGCATCGTTGCAACTGGCTAGGTGACATCGCTTGGGAGGCTAAATTCACACAAACCCCAGCCACAAAGGTAGTCTTTTTGACGAAGAACTCGAATTCACGGTGAGTTGGGAAAGTACAGTTTTCTTGATAAAGATATGATGAAAGTAACTGCCATTTAGATTCTGCACTTATCTACCATTCCATTCTTTCTTTGAAGAAGATATCACTGTCCTCCTGTCAATGAAGAACTTGAGGCTCAACTAGATTAAATAACATCCAAAGCGGGTGTCTCAGCTGGAATTCCACCCCTGCCTTCAAAATACAGACCACAATGGGCTCTTAATAGATTGCCCCCAGATCTTCCAACCATCCATTTTTGTAGTGACTACCAGGGTAATTTTCCTGTGATCAGGTTTTTCTTCCCCTCAAAAAGTTGTTATTGCCCCCTCATGGTCTGCAAAATGCCAAAGTGGCCATTCAGGCATGCTCAGTCCAACTCGCCCCCTAACCTGGCCCCAATCTGCATGAGAGCGTTATAATCAACCTTTCTCCGAAAGGTAATCAACACTCAGACCAAAGTAAATGTCCTACTGATTGTCCAACAACATTCCTTTGCAGGAACACCTCCTTAAAAACAGCAAAACAAAACAAACACAGATCATAGACTGGTAACCATGAGCAAAATGTCCCGCAGACCAGTTTCCTTTGGCATTTAATTAATTTGAATTAGTTCTCCAACATTTGAAAGTTGAGATTTCAACTAAAAATCTGATTTTCTAACGTCTTGAAAAATTGAAAGATCTCATGACATCAGGGTGAGGGACTATATTCTCTGAGCAGAAATAAGCAACTGTCTCCTTTAAACATAGTGCATACACACTGCTCACCATTCCTTATTCCTGGCCTTTCCAACATCTTAGACATTAGCTGAAAGCAAATTCATTTCACTGCATCAGGGATGCTCAACATTGGTGGTAGATATGGTCAGTTGGAGTGGCTTTTTAAAATGTCGGCCCTCCCTGGTGGCGCAGCTCGTTAAAGCACAGCACTGGGAGGCTAAAGCCACTTCCGCATGAGTTCTACCCCTGCCTGCCCTGGAGGTGACCACATGTCGCGGAAGACTTCTCCTGACCTGCCGGCTGCTCCCCTCAGCAGTGTACTTCGTCGATTAGCCTGTTCTGCTCCCCGCTCTGTCTCTGGTGAATCCTCTCACCCTCCGCATCTCTGGCTTGTACCCCAGTTCTGTATGAATAAATAAATAAATCTTTAAAAGAAAAAAAAAAGAAAGAAAAAGGCAATTAAAAAAAATGCAATGCCAAGGCATTTTTTTTTTTTTAGAAAGGACACTTTATTAAGAACCCTGTTCCCCTTGGGGGGAGGGGGGAAACCTCCCTTAATGCTTCTAATAGGGAGAGGGGTTGAGAATCACTGTACACAACAGGTCCTCAAATAACATTTAGGTCAACAGTTTGTTGTAATGATGAGAAAAAACAATCTTGATCTACTGTGAAGGAACTGTTGTTTTAATTATTGTCATAGTTTCCAGGAACCTATAGGTGGTGATAAATCAACCTTTCTTTATATGATTGTGTTTAAACTTGTGAATACCTAGAAGGTCCAGGGCACAGTGTCCTAAACTAGGCCTATTAACTGGTGTTGAAATTATCCCCACTGAAGAAATGAAGAAATTAAGGCTCAGAGGCAAGAGTCTCACTTGTAACCAATGAGCTCACGACTGCCAGGTAGGAACTCAACTCTGGTCTTCGACGTCTAGACAAGAGACAGTGGAGAGGAGCTTACCTGGCTTTCAGATCTCTGTGGAAAGACAGTACCACATGAAGACTAGCTTGATTCTCATTCCATCAGTTAAACAATAAAGGTTGCTTTTTACTTCCGAATTCTTCTCTTCCTTTGATGTCTCCCTTTTCCTGTCTGTTCCTATTCACCCTGCCCACCAGGTCAAAGTTGCCCTTTGCCCAGAAATGGCCAACAATCTCCAGCTGTCTGAAACTCTCCAGATGCCTAAGATTCGTTTGGGGTGTTTGTTTAAAATGCAGACCCCCTTTTTTGGTATTCTTTGGGTAAAAACCCAAATATAGAATGTGGAATAGTTGGATCATATGGTATTTCCATTCTTAATTTTTTGAGGAATCTCCATTTGGTTTCTGTAGTGACTATACCAGTTTATATTCCCACCAGCAGTGCACAGATGTACTTTTCTATTCAAACTAATAACAATGGTTGTTTCTTATCTTTTAAAAAATTTATTTATTTAAAAATTATTCATTTATTTATTTATGCATACAGGAACTGGGGTGTAGGCCAGAAGTGCAGGGGGTAAGTGGATTCACCAGAGACAGAGTAGAGGAGTAGAGGGGAGCAGAAAAGGCAGATTTACTGAAATGCACTGCTGAGGGGAGCAGTGGGCAGGTCAGGAGATGTCTGCTGAATCATGTGATTCACCTCCCTGGCTGGGAATAGAATTCATGCTACAGGGGCTGGTGATATCTTGATAGCACTGTCTTTAACCCCTGCACCACCAGAGAGTCTCTCTTTCATATCGTTTTTATATAAGCCATTTTCAAATGTATGAGATGATGTCTCATTGTGGTTTTTATTTGTGCTATAAAAATAATGAAATCTTGTCATTTGTAACAACATGGCTAGACCTAGAGGGTACTATACTCAGAGAAATAAGACAGAGAAAGACAAATACCATATGATTTAGGTCATATGGTATTTCCATTCTTAATTTTTTGAGGAATCTCCATTTGGAGATTCTGTACACAGAAGATAAAGAAACCAAAACAAAACAAAAAAAGAACAAAAATAAACACTTAGATTAAAAACTAAATGGCAGTTACCAAAGGGAAAGAGAGGGTGATTGGGTAAAAGGGGTCAATTGTATGGTGAAGGATGGAAAATTAGACTTTTGGTGACAATCACAGTGTGGTATACACGGATGTCAAATTATAGTGCTGTATACTTGAGCCCTATGTAATGTTTTAAATCAATGTTACTTCAACCAAAAATAAAACATAGAATAAAATGTGGATGCCTGGGTTAGGAAAGGAGCCCAGAAGATGAGAATTTTAGCAGGCTCTCCAGGAACTGATTCTTGGAAAGCATTGACAGACATAAGCCTCCAAATGCAGTCTAGACCCCTTCACTTGGAATCAGGCCCCCTCAGTCTTGTGTTCAATCCCTTCCTTCCAGACAGCCTGTCTTTCAAGCAAATGAGCGGCTCACTTCTATCATGCTATACACTTTCCAGTTTTGTGGTTTTGCAATCACCTTTTCCTTTAATATGTTCTCACCTGATTTTCAATAGTCTGTAGTTTCCCTCTAGTTTCTATATCACTCAAGGCTGCCCTGATACTGAACTCCTGACACTGAACTTCAAATATATTTAACTCTATCATTCATTTGAAAGTTAGGCAATGTCTTTAACTTCATCTCTGTCTTTGTTTTGCATTTAGAAATTTCGTCTTTATCTGACTTTTCAAATAGGGTCTACTCACAGCTGAGTTTATAATGAGGAGAGAACTCCTCTGTCCTTCACCTCCCACCTTTTAGTCTCCCATCGGCCTTATCTAATGGTTTGCAAACTGCAAATATTTGGCTTAAAAATTTCGAGATCGCTTTATGACTCGCTTTTTTTTTTAATTTATTATTACAAAGTTTATTTTTACATCATTTTGCACATTTTTTTTCCATCTCGATTGTAATCCCCGCGGGTTTCCCATCACCAAATCACTCCTGTACCACCACCATAGTCCGGTGCATTTCCCTCCCTTCCCCCCTCGCCATTTTTGATCCCATTCCCCACTCCACCCCCACACCCCCACAGAATGTCTCTGGTATATGGTTGTTCATTATTTTTGTTATTTTCTCGCCTGGTCCATTATACTCCTGCTATGAGTGAAACCATCCGGTATTTTTCTTTCTCTTTCTGGCTTATCTCACTAAGCATGATCTTTTCCAGCTCCATCCAAGTTGCTGCAAAAGACATGTGTTTCTCTTTTTTGGTTGCTGAGTAATATTCCATTGTATATATGTACCACATCTTTCTAATCCAATGACTCGCTGTTTTATGGGTCACTGAGAGATGGTAAGATTCCCCACTCAAGACTAGGAGTTTAAAGTGCTGTTATGAAAGACACTGTGTGACATTGCAATGTCAGCAATGCTTTTTATGAAGCTAATTTCTGAATAAGAGTGAACTTGAAATTTTGCTTCCCTTCCCTTTTGAATCTAATACTTCCCTTATTCTAGAAGGCACGAGCCTGTTCTCCAGTTTTGAAATCACATGACAGTGTCTGGAGGATAAGATAACCAAGCAGCATGATTCAGCTACTTTCTTGCCTAAAATGTATAATTAACCAGCCGTAAGCAGCTTCGGCATTCTGTGCATTAGTCTTCATAAGAGTATAAACCTTTAAATCTTTCAGTGAAGGTTATAGATCAGCCTTGAATTTAGGTGATAATTGTAATTCCTCTGCTGAATATGAGACAGACTAAGAGTTTAAGAAAAAAAGTGTTAAAATAACTCCTGCTGAGTCGGTTAATTTTATATTTCAAACTCCCACCCCCTCTGATGGGGAAAGTGTCCATATTAGTCTTTGTCTAAGTGGTATCTTTCCCCTGGGTGGAAGGTGGTATTTTACAGTTCATTGCTTCTTGGAAGTTCAAGCTTCCAGACAGCCTGAATGCAACTTAGGAAATATATTACCTCTCTAGAGACATTATTTGACATGAATGGGTATCCATTTTCTCTCTACAGGAGAATCCACATGCTACGCTGACCCTGTCTTTGGCACAGACTAACTTCTGCAGGAAACATGGATTTGATGCCCAAAGTCCCCTCTGTGTTCATATAATACTGTCAGGAGTTGTTACTAAGGTAAATCGTGACCCCCCAAAAGAAAGAGATTGGTTGTAGAAAAGTTTCATCTTATTAACAGTAAAGAGATATTTTAAGAATTCTGTAAAATTGGGGGTTGAGATGGAGAGTTAAAATACATTCTAATATGTAAAATAATTTCATAAAAACAAAAGGTTTATGTTAGTTGCTTTCATGGGGTGTTCAGTAAGACAGTTATTGAACCGCTTTTGAAGCCAAACAGCAGTAAAACCCTGTGGAAAGAGTGCTCGATGCGAGTGTTAGTTCCTTGTCTGAGCTCCTCGTCTCCATAATTTAAAATTGGCTTTAGAGCAGAGCACCCACTAAGTAGGCTGAAGGGGAGTGCCCATTACTAAGTAGTGGAAGCAAATTTAGACTCTTTGGGGACTACCATGGGAAGGAAGTTAAATAAAACTGTGAGAAGATCAGAGGGCACAATGTCAGGAGCACAGGTCTGGTTAATAGAGCCAACAGATTTGCTCTCTGACCTTTCACCTTTGAATATCTCCAATAAGTTCTGTTATGTTCTGGAAATTCTTTGTGGACACACATCAGTGGCTGAGTGTCAGTTCCCAGCAGGAGAAGAGGCCAAGAATAGGTAGATGCCGTTGAGTTCTGATATACCACGTCTACAAGTTTTTCCCTCTGTGCATCTCTGTGTTCAACGTGCACCTCATGGTGTAAAAATGCTAATTTTTCTTGGCACAAGTACCACGGAATTTTATTATAGGACCCTGTACCAGTTATCTGGTAGCTCAAAATTACTGTTTACCAATGAAAACTGATCCTTATGACAACGGTGATTGTGCACAGGTGAATTGGTGGTGGAAAATTTACAGGGACTGCACCTGAGAGGAGAAAGCACATATTGTACAAAAAGAACAATGATGTAAAATATATACAAATAAATACATGTAAAAGTTTTTTAAGTATAGGAAATGTAAAAAAAAAAAGAAAGAAAGAAAATTGGTCTAATGATAGTTGTCCACTTCATTCTGTTATCATAAATATTTGAAATCTGTATTGTGGTCTGCCTTTCTTTAAGCTTCCTTTGTTTTTATCAGATTCCTTATGCTTAATATCAAGATTTATAGTGGAACTTTAAAATTCTCAAGAAAAAAAGGAGAAAGCAAATTGTAACAATGTGTGGTATTAGCTGTTAACCTTACATAGTGATCATTTTGCAATGTATCCATGTAGCAAATCATTATGCTGTACATGTAAAATTAATAAAATTTTATGTGTCAATTATCTCAATTTAAAAAAATGTTTTGGAATCAGAATTCAGAATGAAACTCTTCAGGATACATACAGTGTGAGAATCACACATTCCTAACTGATGAAAATACAAAAAATGTCACTATTGTATCACCCATGTCCTTTAGGTGAATGAAACAGAAGCGGACTTTGCAAAGCAGTCATTGTTTATTCGACACCCTGAGATGAAAACCTGGCCTCCCAGCCATAATTGGTACTTTGCCAAGTTGAATATAACCAATATCTGGGTTGTGGACTACTTTGGTGGACCAAAAATAGTGACTCCTGAAGAATATTATAATGTCACAGTCCAGTGAGTATTTCATGTCTTCCACATTTCTGATATTGTACCTGGTCAGCATCTCTGCCCCCAACACCCCCAGCTTCTTAAGCAAGGGGGTCTTAACCATTTCTTGTATCGTGGGCACCTTTGGTGGGCTCGTTACTCCTCAGAATAATATTTTTTTAAAGATTTATTTATTTATGCATATAAGACCTGGGGTACAGGCCAGAGGTGCAGGGGTTGAGAGGACTCGCCAGAGACAGATTGGGGAGCAGAACAGGCCCATTGACTAAGTACATTGCTGAGGGTAGCAGCGGGTGGGATAAGAGAGGTCTACTGAGTCATAAAAGTCACCTCCGGGCCAGGCATCGAATTCGTGCTGCAGTGGCTGTGATAGCCACCAGGGTGGGCCCAGAATAATATTTTTAAATCATAAAAGACAGAGGATGACAAAGGAAGCCAGCTGTGTTGAAGTACATTTATGAACATATTTTCAGTATGTTAATAAGAAGTTGACTTCTTAAGGAACACATTATATAATAAGGTCCGGTAGTGAGTCTAGAACTTTGCTTTTAGAGTAGTGAGAACTGAAAGCAGTATTTTAAGATGTCTGCAACAGCTGTCACGTGATATGAAATGTGTGACTTCTGTGTTTCTACTGTGACAATCACAGATGCATTCTCTCTCCTGTGGTTTATTGTCTGCCTTCCTCATTGAAGAAAATGATAAATTTCAGCTAGAACTTAATAAAAGTGAAAAAAAAAATCCCATCGAAGTTTACAGACCCCCGGGGCTTTACCTATAGGTCTGTATTCCAGACTGAGAGCCTGTTTGAAGGCTCTGCTTTATGCCCTGGGCGGAGTTCTGTCCTGACTGGGGTGAGACTTGTGCCTGGGGACAGTGAATAATCCATACGGATGCCTGAGGAGAAGTGAGGACTGAGTCTGACTGTGAATGCCTGGGGAAGCATGTCCCACCAGCAAGTGGACACTACAGGGGAGTAGAAGGCCACCAAAGAAGCCTTGGGAGAAGAACAGAACGTGACAGCAGGGAAAGAAGGATGTGATCAGCTTCTTTACAGGAGGCTGAGGCTCAGATGGAGGAATATGGGATGAGGAACTTTCCCAGTGAACACAGGTGATTCTGACCTATCTGATGCCTTATAGGCCTGATGGGAGGTGAGCACAATAGCAGGTCCTGTGAGCTGAGCATTTACTGCTGGTTGGTGCTATAGTATCTGGTTCATAGGTGTTAACTCACCTAATGCCCAAGAGGCCTGTAAGTTAGGTAATATTTTTCCTCATCTGTGAGATGAAATCCTGATGCACAGGAAAGAAACTTGCCTAGAGTCGTATTGCCAGTGACTAGTGGTGGTGGCATTCTAGCTCCAGAACCCTCACCCATGTCTCACCCTGACCTTACATTGCCCTATTTTTACCTCACTGGTGTCGGCCAGGCTTCTCCTCCAGCACCTTCTACAATGCACGTTCTACTTGTAGAACAGCTGCTCTTTGCAGAGTGTAGGGTGGCCATGCAAAGGTAGACTTGCGGGTTGTGACTCAGTTGTGCTTAAGTTTTTAGCAGCCACTCGTTGGGCATCTATCCCACTTAGAACACATTTCTGTTGAACTATGGACTTCACACCATGACTGTAAATTTCTTCACAGCAAAGCTCAGGCTTCACTTTTACCGCATCCCACTCAGGGCCTGCACAGGGCATGACACAGAGCAGTGTTTAGTAAACACTGGCTACTTATCAGTCTGCTCATCAGAGATGTGTTTCTCACTTCCTGATTGGAATAAAGAATCCAGCAGTGATGACACTACTTGCTGCTGCCGTGCAGGCAGAAGAGGAGGCACAGGCCAGGGATCCTGGTCTGGGCTGGCAAAGCCCTTTCTTTGTGGGAATGTAGCGGTAGCAATTGTTGGGGGTGGAGGGGCTGGCGCGGGTAACAAATGACCAAGGAAGACAACCTGTAAGCTGACAGGCCAGCTCTTCCTCTTTGAGATTAGAATTTACCCTTACAGAAGATAATCTCTGAAATACAGTCACCTTTGTAGAAATAACATGCCCAAGGGCTGTGCTTACTTTAATAACAAAATAAAAATGTGTTTTTCCCTTAAGTCTACATGCTGAATAAGTGAGTAAAACAGATACATTTGATGTTCTCACTTTATTACACAGACCAGTGAGTCTTTTCTGTAGCTCAGAGGTAAGAGGGAGCATTTTCTCCTTGTTCTTTTGTGAGAAGCACCAAAGACTAGGCCAAGTGTGACCCCTTTGGCGCAGGACCCCAGAATCCTAGAAGTGGGCCGTGCCCCCAAGCTGACCTTTGTGAATGGGTGCCTCTGACTGCTAACTTTCCATTTCAGATGCTGGGAGTAGCCTTCCCCGGGCCCCTCCCCTCCTCTGCCCCAGGCCCCTACATAACTCTCCCAGTTTGCCGCTGGGGGAAGGGGGAGTAGTAATATTTATAAGGACCAAGGACCTGTACCTTCCCAGGGAGTCACTCCCCCGGGCCTCATAGGTCTTCTGGGGCTCTTCCCCACATGGCAGTGACCTTGCCTGCCTGCTCAGGTTATTTTGGAAGATGTTATCCCTCCAAATACCATAAAGTTCTCTGGCCTGAAATCAGTTTCCCTTTGACAGAGTCTTTTGTGAGCTCATTAATACCAGTACCACTTGACTGGGCTATTGGGGCCTAACTGAATGTGGTTTGGCACCTTGCACTATTGGGTCAGGACCCCACCAGCATATTAGCACCCTTCATGGATGTTTTGCTGGAGTCCGGAATAAGCAGTTATCTCCTATCACTGAACAGCTGAGTGTTTGCACCAGGCCTCCTCTTCCTAGGGGCACCCCATGTTACCCAGCAAGGCCAGAGGTAATGAGAGGTCACCCTCTCCTAGCCTGGACGTGGATCTCCTGAGAGCTGTGGGTGAGGTTGCATCAGGAAACCATGTGGAACTGGACATATCTAGCTGGACTCTGTATGGTCAAGCCCTGGCTAGTTCTTGTGCTCCAATGCTTGGGACTCTTCTGTTCTCCATAGTTTTTGTATTTTAAACCTTCAGGTAGTCTCGGGTATCCACAGCACAACAGCTGTAGTCATGGCCTGATAAATGCACAGTCAGGTATTAGCATCATTCTCAGAGAGGGGGGAAGCTGACTAAAATAAAGTTTCCTAGTCCTGCCCCTAACCCTATATGTACCAGACCTCAGGAATCTGCATTGTAGCAAACTCAAATGATTATTTATTTCAAGAAAGTGACTGAGATTCTCACCATCTTTCAGCTTCTGGATTAGAAGTTTCTCTATTTTTTTTCCAGGATGAATTTTAAGACTTTCAACTCAGTTTGATGAAATGATTCTTCCTCCTCTCTCCCCTACAGGTGAAACAGAATGTGAGGAATTTGACCACACATGTGAGTTCTTAGGATGATTCATACAGTCCTGGGGGGCTCGACGTTTCTCTGGAAATCTTCCCAAATCAGCCAGTTTTCTCTCGGATGCTGTTTCCTTTGCCTCTCTGCTTGCTTGCTTGTTTACGGAATAACTTGTAACTTGCACTGTTACTGTATTTCTTGGGAGATGTGGTTGCTTTATTTTTTCATATGTTAAAGCCAGTTTCATAGAAAGGTATCTTTCTTTACGATCAAAGAAGTTGTGTTCCGTCAATCTCAAGTAGGTTTCTGATAACTGTTCCTTGAAAATCAGATCACCAGTGAGCCTCTGAAGGTGCTGGAGGCGTGTTGGTTATTCCTGGAGACTGGTGAGGAGAAGGCTGTGCCCACCCAACCCCATACCTGAGACTTCCCAGAGCTTGGACCATGTGTCTATGTCCTGGAAAAATCTTGCCAGGACCATGTGATGAGACACAAATAAGCTTCCTACTCTGGTTCATTTTTGTCTGACCATCCTGGTATTATTGATCCAACAGCGGGCAAAGCTCTTTTCTTATAAAGACAATTTTTTTTTTTCAGATCAAAAGTGAAAATGATCTAGAACAAAGTTCACAAAACATTTCCTCTCTAAGTAGTAACTGTAATCAGTTAATGACAGTCAAATTACACACATACATACACACATACAAAACAGGATTGTGAGAGGTAAAGAAGGAATATTGAATTTTACGTGACTGGAGTTTCTTTACTTTTATAAGTTTAACCCAGACAGAAAACAGCTTGTCAGGGCCAAACATCACTCCCAACCACTCTGTAGCTTTTTAAAGTTACTCTCCATAGTGATCCCAGACATCTTCAGCTGCTCTTAAATCTCTAAATGACTGCTAACTTAGTGCCTAAGTCAGAGTATCAGAGAGAAGATAAGATGGCATTTTTAAAGAAATCACATTTCCTCAGAAGGAAAGAAACTATTCAGTTTTACTGCCTATATACATGATTTCAGAAGCCGACATAAGCTCCATTATAAAGAGCTGTGCTAGGAATCTAACCACCGAATCCTTAAATGGCTAAGAGAAGAGAAGTTGAATGTGAATCACTATGCTTAAAATCTATAAAATGAACTCATCTGGTAAACAGCTTCTGTTTAAGGAAAATGATGTATATTAAACTTGGTAAAACAGGTTTGTTGTTGAAAGCACCTAAATAAAAACATTATTTTACTGAAATGTGCTGGATGTATTCTCTTAAATGTAGATATTAGTATTTATTACCTCCTGGACTCACTGACTACTGTCAAAACTCTTGCATACGTTAGCATGTTCTTAAATCACCCTCTGGCCATCAGAGCTTGGAGTGAGTGAGTGACTCTATCGCTAAGCAGCTCACTGTGTCTGCCAGTGTGGGGATGACCAGCAGGCTTCACCAAGGCCCTATGAGGTAATTCAGTTGAGAGTATCACTCTGCTTTCTTCCCTTGCCCATTAATTGTGAGCTTTGTCTCCATTTGATGCCGTGTAAAAAATCTAAATTCAGGTAAGTCATCACAGAATAAAATCAACCAATTTTTCCAGTGGACTGCAGATTCCTTTACACAGCAGGTCCTAGAATAATTCACACGTATTCAACGTTGTTTTGTTACAGTGACAGAAAAGGAATCCGTATGCTGGATGAAACACTATTAGAAGACTTGGGTTCCATAGAAAGTTGCGGTTTGGGAGAACCTTATGGGAGAACTTACTGAGAGGATGGAGCAGTGTCAGGAATCTAACCACAGAATCCTTAAATGACTAAGAGATGTTGAGTGTGATTTGCCACCAGAGGGCACTGTACACCACTCTTTGTGAAGACGTCTAATTCTTGTACAACTGAGCTGATTAAGCCCCAAAGAATGACACAGGACCCAAGGTGGGCTGGGTGGGCTCCATGAGATGACCATGAGTCAAAGACAGTCCAGCCGGGACAAGAGAAGAAGCAGGCTGGTCTCATGTTACTGCTGTCTGGTTTTCACGGTTTTATCCCTCCTCCCACACCATGTGCCTGCCCCACTTGCTATGGAAAAGGGACACAGGAGTCCTCCCTGGTGATGTAGGGGCTTAAGACACAGTACTGTCATGCTATAGCCAGCCACTACAGCACGAGTTCTTTCCCTGGCCAGGGAGCTGACCCACATGGCACAGCAGACCTCTGCTGTCTGCCCGCCACTCCCTTTAGCAGTATATCTCAAGTAGATCTGCCTGTTCTGCCCCCATACTGTCTCTGGTAAATGCTCACACTCCCTGTACCTCTGGCCTACACCCCAGTTTTTGTATGTATAAATAAATCTCCCCCCCCCCTTTTTTTAAAGAGGGACAGAGCCCTGTTCTTTACCAGATAGAGGACAAATGTTCTGGACAGGGAGAGAGTTTGACCCCAGACCATGATAAGAAAAGAAAACTTTAAAAGTAGGAAGAGGAGGGCCCTCCCTGGTGGCGCAGCCGGTTAAAGCACAGCACTAAGAAGCGTAAGCCACTTCCCCATGAGTTCAATCCCCGCCTGCCCCAGAGGTGACCCGCATGGCGAGGCCGACCTCTCCTGACCTGCCCACTGCTCCCCTCAGCAGTGTACTTCATCGATCTGCCTGTTCTGCTCCCTGCTCTGTCTCTGGTGAATCCTCTCACCCTCCGCATCTCTGGCCTGTACTCCAGTTCTATATGAATAAATAAATAAATCTTAAAAAAAAAAAAAAGTAGGAAGAGGAAATTGCTGAGCCGCAAGCCTGAAGCCACTGAGCCCTGGATGTCTGCTTTTGACAGATATTAGCTCAGTTTAGGAACTTGTTCAACTAGTTAAGGCCAAATTTGCATTTCCAGACCACAATTAGCAGTTTATTTTGCCTTCTAGTCCAGATTCAAATTCCTCGCAGGTACACAGTAGGATAGAGAAACATCCTTTATGAAATGCAACAGCACTCAGTGAAAGAAAGACATAGAGATTCTGACTTGAGGCTGTTAATGTCATGTTTCCTTTCTTAGTAATTTTCATACTAAAGATGATAAAATAATTGAAGAGGAGATTCTACTTTCTAATCACAGGGCATGTTCTCGGTTTTAGTACTGAAAACAATAATGTTCTATTTCATGTAAAGCTGCTAGGTCAATTATCTTTAGGGAAATTCCAAACTGTCACTTCAGAACCAGGTGCTCTGTAAGTTTTCATCTGACAAGATAGTTGCAACTTAAGTCCTTTTTGTAATCAATCAGTCAACCAAATCTCCATCTTTTTCTTAGATTCCCCCCCCCCACTGTATATTGTAAGTAAGCTGTATATGTGTTGAAATTATGGGAAATAAAAAAGTTAAAAATTCAAAATCTTAGCAGTCAGCATGACGCTGGTATTGAAGGCAATTTCCTCCAATCTTGGCTCCCATGAGCTGCTTAACTGTTATGAAGATCATGCTGCTTATTATTTCTCACACTTTATTCTGCTAGAATCTGTTCATAGAGATGGCTTAGCATGTCTGCAGAATATTTTCTCAGCTCAACCTACTCCAGCTAGCAAATAAATTAGCATTGTGTTACAGCTGACAGAACCTCTTTGAAAGTATTTTAAACAACAAAAAGGAACTCATGATCTAAAAAAACTCCAGCACTCAGTTTTCGCCTCCTGTTTGCTGCTTCCCCTGTGTTGGTCTTAACTGTTGCCAGCAATCTGAGAGCAGAACATCTTTTCCAGCCAAGAGAGTCATTTCTGGACAATTGCTGTGTCTGGGACTGGGGTGCCTTCATTGGCTGCCCAGGTCCTGTGTCCTTCTCTGAATTCAGGGGTTCAGTTCAGCACCATGAGAACCACAGGAACTAAGAGTTTGGAGGGCATCTGAACACAAATAAGAAATGCTACCTGAAGGGGCCTAGAACAGGCAAAATGTTCAGGCTGATACTATGCACCACCCCCACCCCCAATGTTTTGACTTTTTTGTTATTTCCAGTTTTTCCTATTATAAGAGAAAGCTCTTTATGCAGAAAGCATTTTCTACATTCCTGTTGATTTTCTTAAGGTTCCCAGAAGTGGGATTTCCAAGCCAAAGGCTATAGTACAAGTTACAAATTGCTTTGAAGAATTTATAACAATGAACAGTCCAACAAGTTAGAGACACATACCTGATTTCACTTACAGATGGAATCAAAAAACCCAAAATTCAGACGGAAAGCAGATTGATGGTTATCAGAGGGGAGGGCGTAGGGAGGGGTGAAATGCACAGGGAGAAGTGAGATAAATAAACTTCTAGTCATAAAATAAGTCAAGAAGATGTGATGAACAGCATTGAGACTATAACCAAGAAGATGGCCTTGCAAATTTGAAAGTTGCTAAGTACAGCCAACAGATTACTGTGATGATCATTTAGCAACATATACAAATGCTGGCTCATTATGTCAGACACCTAATATGAGAATAATACGTGCCAATTATACACACATTTAAAAAATATATCAGAAAAGAACAAACTGACACCAAAGCACAAGCAAAAATCAAAAAAATGGATGTTTCCAGCAAACTGGGAAACTTCTGTAGAGCAAAAGAAACAATCAACAAAATGAAAAGACAGTCTACAGAATAGGAAATAATATTTGCAAATCATCAGTCTGTTCAGTGATTGATGTTCAAACTATATAAAAAACTCAATAGCAAAAAAGCAAACAATGCAATTTAAAAATGAGCAGAGGAACTAAATAGACACTATTCCACAGAGGACTTATAGACAGTAGGTACATAAGAGTTTCAGCATCACTAATCACCAGGGAAATGCAAATCAAAGCTATAATGAAATGTCAATTCACATGTGCTACAATCACTATGATCAAAAATGATTAGAGATGGGGCCTCCCTGGTGGCACAAGGGATTAAAACCTGGTATTATGAAGCTATCCGCAGCTACTGCAGCATGAGTTCAATCCCTGGCCAGGGAGGTATCCCACATGGTGCAGCAGACCTCCCCTGACGCGTCTGCTACTCTCCTCCAGCAGTATGTTTTGGTAAATCTTCCTGTTCTGTTCCACACTCTATCTCTGATGAATCCTCTCACCACCTCCCTACCTCTGGCCCACACCCCATTCCTTGCTTGCATAAATAAATTAAAAAAAAAAAAAGGACTAGAGGTAACTACCATCCAATCTTTCTTCTGATTATATCTACAAATAAATGTGTTAGGATCTTGAAGAGATACCTGCACTCCCATGTTCATTGCAACATTATTCACAATAGCCAAGATGTAGAATCAACTTAAGTGTCCACCAGCAGATGAATGGATGAATAATGGCAATGTGCTCTATATTCACAGAGGAATATTATTCAGCTGTTAAAAAGAAGGAAATCCCATCACTTGTAATAACATAGATGGAAAGTGGAGGCATTATGTTAA